AACTATCAAAAATACCCTTGTGATGAAACAAACATGTTGACCGAGAACTCTCTGCTATTCTCTCTTATAAGAAGTAGGAATATAGATAACCGGTTTATTATGTACTTCCGCATTTATATCAATTTGATTTAGCTTTGTTAATTTTAACTTTAAAAATGTAAAGGAAAAAGGTGAATAACTCTAACGTTGGCTTGCCTAGCGAGTGCGATGTTAGGCGCCATCACGATCCCGACGGTGGAAAATCCGGATCGTGACATGGGGTGACATTGAAAGTATGGTTTTAACTTTCTAGAAGCGCTTATCAGTGCAAGTGCCACTTTTTCTAAGTGTGGGTATCTAGTTTCTGCCTCTCCGAAGGTTCGACTTACGTAATAAACGGGAAATTGCGTACCTTGCTCTTCTCGAACTAGGACACCACTTACCGCGATTTTCGATACCGCCAAGTACAAGTAAAGTTTCTCATCTGCCTTTGGAGTGTGAATCAATGGTGGGCTCGATAGGTATCGCTTTAATTCCTCCAATGCTTGTTGGCACTCCGGGGTCCAGGTGAAATCATTCTTCTTTTTGAGTAAAGAGAAAAATTTGTGCCTTCGATCTGATGACCTCGAGATAGATCGGCCTAAAGCAGTTATCCGTCCAGTTAGCCTCTGCACGGTTTTTACACTATCCACGATGGTGATGTCTTTGATGGCCTTGATTTTATCGGGATTGATCTTGATCCCCCGATTCGACACCATGAAGCCCAGGAATTTGCCTGAACCGACCCCGAAAGCACATTTCTCGGGGTTGAGTTTCATGTTATATTTCCTCAAAATCTCGAACATTTCTTGCAAATGAGCCAAATGGTCCTCTGCGCGCAGGGACTTAACTAGCATGTCATCAATATAAACTTCCATTGACTTACCTATTTGTTATTCGAACATCTTATTTACTAGGCATTGGTAAGTAGCTCATGCATTTTCTAGCCCAAAGGGCATTACATTATAACAATATGTTCCATACTTGGTGATAAATGAGGTTTTTTCCTGGTCTTCCGGGTTCATCTGAATTTGATTGTACCCGAATAGGCGTCGAGAAAGGTAAGGATCTCGTGGCCGGCCGTGGCATCGATCTTGCGATCGATGTTAGGCAGTGGAAAAGAATATTTAGGGCATGCCTTGTTCAAATCCTTGTAATGTACACACATTCTAAGTTTTTTCCCTTTTTAGGGACTACGACTACATTGGCTAACCGTTCGGGGTATTTCACCTCCTGAATGGACCCTCTTTTGAGAAGTTTAGTTACCTCGTCCTTTATGAACGCGTGCTTTACTTCGAACTGGGGCCTTCTCTTTTGTTTCACCGGTTTGAACCTGGGGTCAAGGCTTAGCCGATGTGTTGTTATCTCCGGTGGGATCCCTATCATGTCTAAATGGGACCAAGCAAAACAATCTATGTTATCAATAAGAAATTGAATAAGCTTTTTTCTGAGTCCGGGGGTTAACCCCGTTCCCAAGTATACCTTTCGCTCGGGCTGGTACTCAATCAATATAACCTGTTCCAACTCTTCGATCGTTGATTTAGTGGCGTCAGAGTCTTCGGGAACAATAAAGGTTCGAGGGCAAAAAATCCTCTTCCTCTTCTTCTATCTCCTGCTTTCCTGATCCGGTCGAGGCTGGTGGCTGTGATTGCTATTTGGTTTCTTGTTTACCTTTGATGCTTAACCTTTCCGAGGTTGATAACGTTGATATCGGTATTACCTCATCGACTGCAAACAATTCCTTTGCAGCATGCTGCTCCCCGTACACTGTTTTCACACCGTCCGATGTCGGGAATTTCATCATTTGGTGGAGAGTCGAAGGAACTGCCCTCATGTTGTGGATCCAAGGCCTCCCGAGTAGGTCATTGTACCTCATATTGCCCTCGATAACGTGGAACTTGGTATCTTGAATAGTTCCAGCCACGTTCACGGGTAGAGTAATCTCCCCTTTAGTTATTTCACTGGCCATGTTGAAACCGTTTAAGACCCGAGCTGCGGGAAAAATTTGATCTTGTAGGATGAGTTGCTCCACGACCCTCGATCGGATGATATTCGCCGAGATACCTGGATCCACTAAAACACACTTAACTTGAACTTTATTTAATAAGATAGAAATTACCAGAGCGTCGTTATGTGGTTGAGAAATTCCTTCTGCTTCTTCGTCGTTGAATGATAAGGAGCCCTCGGGCACATAATCCTGGTTCCGCTTCTCCCTAGTAATTAATACCTTAGTGCATTTGAATACGGGCCCTTATGGAATATCGACCCCGCCGACGATCATATGAATGAAATGTTGTGGTTCCTCCTGTTCATTTTTCTTGTTGGCGTCTCTCTCTCAGAAATGATTCTTGGCTCGATCGCTAAGGAACTCTTGAAGGTGGCCCTCGTTGAATAGACGGGCTACCTCCTCCCTTAATTGCCCGCAATCCTCGGTCTTGTGTCCATACGTGACATGATACTTGCACATCAAATTTGGGTTTCTTTGGGAAGGATCGGTTTGTATGGGCCTGGGCCATCTAGTATCTTTGATCCTTCCGATTGCCGATACAATGCCTGATGCATCGACACTAAAGTTATATTCCGATAATCGAGGTGCCTCCACAGGATCGGCATTCTTATCAAAACCACTTTTGCTCATAAGTCCCCGAGAATTTTATCCTCGATCGTTTCTTCGATCATTCCGGGAGGATTGCGTCCCGAGCCATTGTTCCTTCGATCTGCGGTATATGGTTGATATTGTTCCCTATTCGACCCTGGTTCCCTGTCGATGTCCCTAGGGGTTTTAACTGCCAACCTGTTTGGATGTACTGAACCGGAAGGTGCTCCTAATTGGTCGTCCTCGAACCTGATCTTCGATTGATATCGACTGTGCACATCTGCCCAGGTTACAGCTGGATACTCGGCCAAATTTTGTTTCAATTGTCGAGACGCTATCGAACTCCACTCGTTCGACCCCTGGGTGAAAGCTTGGACGACCCAATCATCTGTGACCGGGAAACTCCACGCGTTCCATTTGAAATCGCGATACGAACTCCCTCAGCATTTCGTTATCCCTTTGTTTTATCTTGAAAACGTCCGATTTTCTTGTTAAGACCTTTATGGCCCTGGCGTGTGCCTTCAAAAAAGAATCTTCTAACATGGCAAATGAGTCGATGGAATTCGGTGGCAAGTTGTGATACCAAATCATTGCTCCCTTTGATAGAGTTTCCCCAGATTTTTTCAACAAAACGGACTCGATCTCATCGTCTTCTAAGTTATTTTCCTTTATTCCGCACGTGTACGAAGTGATATGTTCATTAGGATCGATGGTCCCGTTGTATTTAGGTATATCCGGCATATGGAACTTCTTAGGAATGGGCTTCGGAGCCGCACTCTAAGAAAAAGATTTCTGCACGAACTTTTTTGAATCCAAACCCTTTAAGATCGGGGGTGCCCCTGGTATCTGATCAACTCGGGAGTTTTATGTTTCCACTTTTTTATCATTATCTTCGTTTTTCTTCTCTCCCGACTCAATTCTTTTAGTGAGCTCCTCGAGCATTTTCATAATTGTAGGATCAGTCCCTGATCCGTTACCATTCGACCTTTCTGGCACTGGCTCGGTACGGCGAGTGGTTTCCGGCTCGACCACACTCGTAGTTCTATGTTGACTTTGAAGCTGAGCAATAGCGGCCTGCTGAGCCTGCAACATCTCGAATATTACCTGGAGACTAACTCCCCCGTCTCCTACGCCCTGTGTTCCTTGGCCACCAGATAGGCCTTTCCTGTGCACACTCCCTTCGGGGTCCGCGCCTAAATCCGCATTCAAAGCAATGTGCGAACTGATATCGACTGGGTCGGCGACCGGTACTCCCCCGAGATTAGTCGGTGGCACCCCGACTCCTGGAGTAATTACATTATTGTTTTCTCCGTGAGATCCAAGACCCTCATCACCATGTACGAGTGCATTTTGTGAGTTTGGCATGCTTTAACCTGAGTGCAAAAATACTTGACAAGAACAAGTGTGAAAATATCATGTGTTATCAGAATCAGCACTGAAACAATCATTATTATCTTTAGCCCCACGGTGGGCGCCAAACTGTTTACCCTAAAATTCGAGTAACAATTAAACTTGTATTGTGATTTTAAGGATATGTGATTTAATTCAACGCCAATTGATAAACAAAAGATTAAATAGACAAATTAAAGAGTAAAGTAGATCAAACCAGTGTATAGGCTAAGTCTCGACCTCGACCTGTGACGGTCTCGAGGTATGATTATGGGAAGAACAAATGAATAAACAACTCTGATGAACAGTGAATTGAATAGCAAGCGTATAATTTCTTATCAATGAGCAATGATCAATCTGTTACAAATGGATGAGATCCCCCTTTATATAATAGGGGAGTCCTAAATAAGGTACACTTCCAATTATAGTAGGAAACCATATTTGACAACTGTTTAACCGCTGAAGACCAATCCATTCCGAGATTCACACCGTGATCTCCGGCCCATTGCGGATATCTCGCTCTTTCCGTTATTGACTCATATCGGCATCACCTCGAAGCATGCCTTCTTCTGACCTCGGTAAATGATATCGGCCTCAACATTGAAAAGAAGCTTCGACCTTGAACTCGACGTCCTGGCCTCCCGATTTCCACCATATACAAGTTTAGGTGAAGGATTTAAATAAAGATACTTCCCTGAACTTTAGATGCGCGACACCTGAAGTTAATTTAAAGTAGTTAAATTTGTAAAAAATTAGAAACTTCGTCTATAATTGCGTGAGCCTGAAATTAATTTAAAGCGATAAAACTAGTAAAAATTCAGAAACTTCGGCTATAATTGCACGAGTCTGAAGTTAATTTAAAGTGGTTAAATTTATAAAAGTTCAGAAACTTCGGCTATAATTTTAATGACTTAAAGTCGATTGATTATCTGTACACTTTGCTCCTGAAAAGTGTGGCTCGTCCATGCTATCACTAATAAAGGTGCCCCAAGTATCTAAAACGGCCCAATTCTAACGGATCCTGAGTTATCCTAGAGAAAAGCGCGACATCTCTTCGCTCGCGTTCTCAGCTGAAAACTTCCGTAGTGGGTGGTGCACAAACAGTGGAATTTGCGTCTCTAGTTATTGAAGAACAACCATGGCAGGTAGAGTCTAAAATGTGATGCAGAAGCAATTTGAGTTCTCCTTGTGTTAATTCGTTTTACTGTTGCTTGTTGACAATTGTAAATTTTACTCAGGTGGACAACCTGAGAGAGAAGACAAGGTCTCACTAGAGATCACTGAAGAAATCTTACAGAGCATGGAAGTCGGCATGACGTTTCGCGACTATGTACGTTTTCTGTAACTCTTTGTTTAAGCATTTCATAAGCTACAGGAAACTGAAGTTCTTAAAAGCTGAAAATTTGTCCTAGTTTTTTGTACCTTCCTTTGTATTATTATTCATACTGGTGCTTGTTAATTACTTAAAGGACAACATTAGGTTCAGAAAGAGTAGCAGTAGAATGTAATTCCACTCTGTGTTTATGTAACTTCCAAATCCAGTAGGACAACCCTAGCCGGACCGCTGCTTGACCTTTAAATTAGGAAAATCCTGTTTCTCTAAGCTAAATTTAAATTTTAATTGGTTTAAAGCAGTTGTTTTATCATCATTTGTGATTTTTGATGAGTGCTAATGCATAAGAGCATTATACACCTTCTTTGTTTTTAAAGTTATATTACATTAGTGGTTGTTAACGTAGTCGGAGAACTTGCTAGTGAAATAAACAGATCTATTGCTCAATTTTTTGGAAAGAAATATACATAGGCACACAAAAGATTGGTTCTATTTGACAAGTATTAAGACCCGTTCAGCTCTTACATTAAGGGGTCGTTTGGTTCATGGACGAGTTATGTATTTTAGGTGTTATACTATAGGGGTTGTTTTGGTTGATGATAATAATACATGGATCGTTATGCAGATAAGACAAATTACCTAATCCTTGTATGGCTAATACACGTATTCTTGTTCCACATTCTACCTGTACAAAATAATATATAGGTTCCGATATAAGTTATGCAAGTATTAGGTATATAGATTTTTATTCAGAACCTTCTTTTTTCTTAAGAAGCTAAACTCTGTATTACATAGTAATTTAGAGTTGTAAAAACTTGTACCTTATCAGGAAAAATTAGAGTTGTAGTAGTAGTTAGAGTTTTATACTGAAGACCAATCATTTTACTAATAGAAGTTTATACTGGGGATTTTTATTGTTTTCTATACAACAAGCAGAACAAGCCCTAGATATTGTAGTCATATGATCCTTATTTGTTAGTTAATGCATATTCTGGTCTATCTTTGTGTTTTGAAAGATTGAGTAATGGTAGTATAAACTAACTTTCAAGAGCTATGATTGATCACCGTGCAACTTTTCTAGTTAGAATCATATGATGTATTTAGAACTGCATACAATTTTATTATCTCCTATTAGTTGGACTCGTCACTGAGGATATTCTATTTGGTGAAACATGCTGTTTTTCTTCGCTAGAGTGTCTAGACTGTGAAATCATTTTAGAAATATTGACATAGTTTTTGCCTACTTGCAGAGTGGTAGGATCAGTTCAATGGATTTTCATAAAACATCAAATTATCTGGTGACGGCCAGTGATGATGAGTCCATTCGTCTATATGATGTTGCAAATGCAACGTAAGCATCTTTATTTTACTTTATTGGCAATGTAATTATTTAAATAGTTCATACTTTATTCGTTGTTGTTTTTTGGTTCTCATGGTAGGCTGTGGTTCAGATCTTTCAGTTGCTGAATAAGCGATGCATTAGAAAAGTTAAAGATGTTCTAATGTACTTTCTCTGCCCAAAAAGAGCAATGTTCAATAAAATGGCGTATTGGTTGCCAAAAAAGAAAAAAAGTGCTGCTGCACCCAGTAATTATTTATATTCCTTTTACAGCTATTAGTAATTTCCAGTTGGTATAATATTGGTTCTAGATGGGGTTAAATGGAGTGACATGGTAGTAAGAATTCATATAGCTGACTCTAACTTCCTTGGGAATAAGGCTTAGTTATTGTTATAGTTATTTCCACTTGCGATTTGAGGTCACCCTTTTTTATTTAGCTTTTAAGACAAACTAAATTTGGTGGATATATCAGTTTGGCCAAAAGAAGGTCATGTCAGAACGCCTGCATGGATAAACTATTATTATTTTTAAAATTAATAACATCGATGTTAATTAAGGTCCAATAAAAGAAGAGTTGATGGTGCAATATAATGTGCCTAAGTACTCAGAAAAATCTTTCAAGCGTTAAACTTAAACTTTCCTATCAATAGTAACCACGTTGGCTTCTCATAGAACTCTTTTCTATCAAAAAAGTGGCTTCTCATAGGAACTTGGCAAAATGCTCTTCTTCTCCCACATTTTGTATTATCATAAGATATTTATTCTTTTTTCTGGAATGTCATCTTGCTGTTGCCTTCTTCCGATGTTATTGGAGGTGCTATGTGATTTATCCGCCACTGCAGATGTTTGAAGACTATTAACAGCAAAAAGTACGGGGTTGATCTGGTTAGCTTCACTTCCCATCCTACAACTGTTATATACTCCTCCAAGAATGGTTGGGATGGTATGGGCGTATTTTAATATAACAAATTCCTGTGCATAATCCTTGCAAAGCAGAACAAGTGAATTACTAATTTGTTTGATGGACTGTTTCAGAATCTCTACGGCTTCTTTCATTGCATGACAACAAGTACTTGCGGTATTTCAAGGGTCATCGTGACAGGCACAGTTCTCAGCAGCATCAACTTTTTTATGATTTCCAATGAATATCAATCCTAAAGTGAGGTCTGTATTTGTCATTTGCAGGGTTGTGTCTCTTAGCTTATCCTCTAGGAAGGAGTATTTTCTCTCTGGCTCGCTTGATCGATCTGTTCTACTTTGGGATCAAAGAGCTGATAAATGCCAGGTAAAGACCTCAGCTCATTGACATTATAGTCCTTACCAAATGTTCTTTTCATTTATCTGATTAATTGCTAAGTTTACTGTTCTTAGGGCCTTCTTCGAGTGCAAGGAAGACCAGCTACTGCTATTGATGAGCAAGGACTTGTATTTGCTATTGCTTTTGGAGGATATATAAGGATGTTTGATGCACGCAATTATGAAAAGGTTTTGCATCTGATACATGAAAATGAATTACCATTTGATATGCATAATATTTGTCAATTTCATCTTTTGCTTTCATTAATTCGTTAATTTACTCTTTTTTGAGAAAAAAAAGTTTACTCTTTGAAGGGGCCTTTTGAAATTTTCTCTGTTGGCGGAGATTTGTCTGATGCTAACATCGTTAAGTTCAGTAATGATGGGAGACTTATGCTTTTGACAACTACGGATGGGCATATTCATGTGCTTGATTCGTTTCGTGGCACACTTGTGAGTTGTTTCCACCCTTGAGTTCAGAGGAGCATTTGGATATTTTCTATAGTATTGTCACTAAACAGATTATGCTTTCACCCTCTTTCCTGCAGTTATCAACATATAATGTGCAGCCTGTTTCAAGTAGTTCAACATTAGAGGCATCTTTCAGCCCAGAAGGAATGTTTGTTATATCAGGTAACAGTTTCTTCATGATATTCATGCTGAGCTCCTGCTATTTAATACTCCTCTGGTTCTTCCATTTTGAAGTTATGATATTCCTACAGTTTTCTTTTATGGTGCATCCTCTGGATATCATGTCTCTCTCACTTTCCAAATCTTGGTGTATAGATCATTCTACAGTTTTCTTTTTATGGTGCATCAAGTCCTCTGGATATCATGTCTCTCTCACTTTCCAAATCTTGGTGTATAGATCATTCTATTATGCGGATGCAATTTTGTGTACTACTGTTTGGTCCTGATGATAAGCTTCGCTTCTATAGGGCCTCCTTCTATTTGTAGGTGGTGGGTGTGCATTGCTGGGTTGCATAAATGGAGAAAAATTTCTTGAATTTGGTTGGTTGCTTAATTGATATCTGGAGACCTCTTATAATTAGAGTTAATGTTGTATGTTGTATAAGAGCATATAGAGGTTCTGTGTTCAAGTCTTATTGCCACCCATTAAGAATTTTTTTATCGTGTTACATAATTCAAAGAACATAAGTAGACCTAAAATGACATAAAGCAAAATTGTCTCAAATACCTGAAATCTTTAGAAATCAATGCAAACTTAACTAAGAGCAGAATGCAATAAAAGCAAATATAGGCATTTGCTTAAAAAATTTCTTCCTCTTTTCCTGCTTTAAATTAAGATCATATTTTTTTTTAAGATGTTATATTTTTTAGATTACGCTAGTCCATTTGTGAAAGTCTTCACAGGTACAATCATCGGAGGTACTCATCATAGAAGTGGTGCAATAAAAATGACGAAAATTTTGTGCTTAGTACTAGTGGTGAAATGATCTCGAGCCTCCCCTAGAAATTAGTTAAATCTTTCTAGAAGAACTTCATTCAACTTAAGAGAGAAAAGAGGAGAAAGAAGGAAGCTTATTCATCTATTGCTTTAGTTAGCAGCTTGTCTTTTGGTAGGGAAAGTAGTCTCGCAGCAAGAATCACTTGATATTTTATAGCCCGTGAAGCTGCTTAACCAGAAACCAGTGTAGGGTTAGGACAGAATCAACTTCAGAAGGGTATATGAATATCAGATTCTTTTGTCTTATAGACAATTAGGTTCATTTTCTTTTTTTCCTTAATCCTCAGATGCATATCCAAATGAAATAAATTTTTCCAGCAAATTTATTTGTTTATCCCATCCCCCCTCCCAAAAGAACGAGAAGGTAAAAAGAGAAAGATAACATGTTGCTTTGAACTACTTTGCAGGATCAGGTGATGGTAGTGTGTATGCTTGGAGTGTCCGGAGTGGCAAAGAGGTATGAACAAAACCATATATCTGCTATTATCAAACCCTTTATATTTGCTCGTGATAAGAAGTGTCTATCTAGCTACTATAATTTAATTATTTTTTGGGGAAGACTCACTAGCTGTAATCTTAGAGGGAGGTTAATGCTGGTATTCTCTTTGCAGGAAACTTTATTTGTAAATGATAAAATGAGTTTGTTCAGAAAGAAATATAATGCTTTACGGACCAACTTTTTCTTTTTGCTAGTTTTAGGGATGAGTCAACCACTATTTCCTTTCCTCACACCCTTCTATTTTCTATTGCTTCTCTTGCCCTGTGAGTGTTTCTAGGGAGTTCACTTCTTTTCGTATCATGCCACATTTTGGTGTGTGCATGGGATGACAAAGTTGTCGTTTTGAAATATTTGTAATTTGAATGACTTGTTAATTAACAATTGATAAATAGCTATAGAAAATGATGTGAAATGATGTAAGCGGAGAGTCATACTAGTAGTGTGAGGGAGAATGTGTCACTTGAAGATCGAATTGGAAAAAGAAAAGAATTCAAGCAGCTTCTTCCATACAGAAGTGGTGAAGCTTCTTAGTTACAATGGCTCTTTGCTTAATTGATTGTATTGACCAATCTTATTCTTCCATCTGCATCTCTTAGGTAGCCAGTTGGATGAGTACAGATACTGAGCCACCTATGATCAAGTGGGCTCCAGGAAGTTTAATGTTTGTGACTGGTTCTTCTGAGCTTTCATTTTGGATCCCAGACTTATCGAAATTGGGAGCTTATGTGGGAAGAAAATAGAGTAATTTCATGGTAAGTCGGTGTATTGGGAAGAGATAGAACAAATCTACCAAATCCTCTTGGCTTGTGCCTCCTGAGCATTGTCTACATAGCATTAGGGTTTGGCAGATCATAATGTGTGATCCTCAGAGTGGTTTCTGAACTAGAACACAGGAAGATCAGGTACTGAATTTTCTTATGTAGAGCTCAAGATTTCTTTTTCAATTTGTCGATTTCTACACAGTTTGTTAGTTGTTGCATGGCATCAATTGTTTTACGTAGACACTGCCATGTACTGACACCACTGGTTCTTAAAGACATTATCTCTGATAATCCTATCCTCTATTTTAGTAAACAGTGGTGTGAAATCAACAGGTTTTGCTCCCATTTGTGTTTATAGCATTAGGTGGTAGTTTGAAATACATGCTAATTGCTAAATGCTTCGAGTCGTAACCGTAGCTATGAAGTATGAACTTGCTTGACGAGATTGTTCAGTGCCAAACATCGGCGACAGTTCGATACCACCTCTACTTTATGCAGTTGTGATAAGTTCATCATTATGTTGATGTATTTGCTGGGACCCCTCTCTCTCTTTCTCTGTCCCTCTCTAACTCTGGAGCATACTATTGCAGCCCATATTGATTTGTTTGATAATATCCTTAGTCATTGAATGAAATTGTTGTATAATACGGGGCAAGAAAATGAAAGCTGTTAAGAACACCTGTTTCAGTTGATAGCCCGTCAGGGGCAAATGCAAACTTTTCAGGTGTTTCCGAACAGTTTTTGAGTTTGAGCAATAGTTTAGCCTAATCATGTCAACTTTATCTGGCCAAAGGGTAGAATCCCCGGCTCATTATAAACAAGGTACATATGCCTTTGGATACTATAGTATATAGAGCAAATTGGGGAGTCTAGATTCAGTAGAAGGTAGGATAGCTTTTGGTTAGTTTCTTCTTATACACTTAGCTCAAATATTTCTATGCGCTAACTAGTTCAGCAACTGGAAAGCTACCATATGTGCATAGAACATTTAACAAGCTCAGCAGTAGATCAAAGGCCAGAAAGCTAATCACTCTATCTTTCTTGCTTTATTCTGCTTACAAGTCTGCTGCTTATGAATGCTGCATATTGTCCTGGTTCTGTCATAGTACCATAATGACGATAGCTTGTTGAAAGCTCGTCCCTATTGTCTTCTCTCCCGAGTCAGGCTCGTGAAAGATAGAATTACCTCCATTTTTTGCTGAATGATGCAACTTAGAAGAAAAATGTCCACTTATGAATGCTGCATAATATCTTGGTCCCGTCATTGTACTAAAATCAACATAGCTTGTCAAAAAATATATCCTGTTTGATGTCATTGACTTCTGAGTTTTACTGATGTTCTGTCCTACATAATTGCAGTTTGGGCTACAAGAAAAATCTGTAGTTGGAAGGTCAAATGACTGGTTGAGCTGAGAACTGTGGCGGTATAGTCCTATTACTGGACTGATTTGTCATGAACCTTGTTTGATTGTTTGAAGATCACATTTTGTGATTTTTATGAGCAGAACTTCTAAAACTTTGAGGGTTCTAATGTGATTAATGAGATTGGACTTTTTGGTGCTCCATCTCCTACTAAGTCCAGATTCATCCTGCTGGGCCTGGAGATGCGGCATCAAGAGAGGCTTTCTGATGCTGTACCACCAATGGTTTTAACTGTCTACCATTTCAAGATAAAAGGAAAAGAAAGAGTAAATTGGTATTCTCGATTGCAAGTAAGTATAGTGCTGTAGATAAATTAGACAGTATTCCCTTATTTCCTTCTTGTAAATAACTTTATCTGACTCGATTTTGTTCTTGATGTTATGTGCCTATACTTCAGCGTTCTGCTTCCCTGCTTTATTGTGAATTGCAGTAGCTTTGTTCACTTACATTTTAGTTGGCTACAATACAGGAGATTCTATCAAATTTTCATTGCCGCTCTGTATGTTTTGCTATGGAATGTGTTGTGTTATGTACCATATGATTTCTCACGATGAGCACTTTTTGTTAGATCAATTTCTTAGTATAGAAAGTGACCGGCCCATGGTAGTGAGTCTGAATTATTTCAAGACGGTTGTTGGATTGGCTTAGAGTTGAGTGCGGGGCTGTTTATCCTAACAAGGACAAGTATTTCCGTACCACTTGAAAGTATACAGAGGTGAAATTGAAACAATAAGTGAACGGAACTGAAATCTAGCCGAGTTATAAGTATGTTAGAAAGTGAAAATGGATGATGGTTCTTGCCTCATCTTACTCATAAAGGACATTACGTACAAGTGGATTCAAAAAGTTACAAAGATCATCGTGGATCCACAACTAAATCTCCAAGTATCCATGAACTAAGAAGAGAAGCATTGTCCATAATTTCCTCATTGGCTCTGCTTTTCTTCGAACACATGCTCAGTAGAAGTTCAAGAGGACAGTACTCCAAAGGGAATGAGGGTCATCAAAACCAGGAAAGCATGAAAAAATTGTCAAACCATATATGGTAAAGCATCCCACCCAAATCTTTGTGATTGGGACTGGCTTCATAATTATTGAGAGAAAAAAAGCTTTTGAAGGCAGTGGGGCCAAAGCAGAGGGAAGAAAATCACTCTAATGTGAATAAAGTGTTATATGTGCCCATCACAATAACTGGCCTGGACCATCGACGTCATTGGCCCACATGTCAGTTAGATAGCTTTGTCTGTTTTTCTTTCGAGTCTGGTGACTTGCTTCTTCACGAGTCCTTTTCTATGGCTGTCATAATTATCTCCATTTTTCGGGGTCGGACCAGGGGTGCTTGCGTCGGAATGAGTTTATGGGTAATTTAATGCCAAAAAGAAGAAAAAAAAGAAGCAAATTAAAGAAAAATACCATGGTTATAGTATAGTATATAGGAAAAAAAAAACGTGGGAGCTGGAAGGAATTTCTTTTTGCAACTGGAAGTATAATATCAAAGTGTAAAAGACTACCCTAAGATTTAAACTCAATGAGTTCGGAAACATACAATTTCACAATATATGGCATATATATAAAAACACACACACTATGATTTCTTATATTCCCCTATCGCTAGGTATTTTTCAACACTTACAAATGTTCGAATGTAGAGCTTGATGGATTCAAGTGAGTTGTGCTCAAACTAGTCACTCGGGAAAGCGTAGGCCACCCACACAGCTAGCTTCCAAAATTCAGTTTGTTGTTAAGAGATTAGAACTTTTGACTTTTTGCCATTATAAGTGGTAACCTAAATTGCCTTATCTGATATATTGTGCAAGATCAATTTCTTTAAGGTGGAGAGAATAAAGTTGTTATAAGTAACAATTTTGATTCTTTGATGAACCATTTGATGGGTAGATTTAAGGCCGAGCTGTTACTTATTACTTCTTCTATCTTAGCTTATGTGGCGCAAATTCCTTTTTAACATGTCAGGAAAAGGATGATATAGTGCTATATTTAACTATAAGTAACTTTTAAATTTTTATTTTACCATGATTCAAACAAATAACTATAATTTATATAGATCACATGTTCTAAAAATTTTATTAACTTTGTGTCCAATCAAATAATGACACAACAAATGTGATGGAGGGAGTAGTCCAATTGCCGATTTTATTTTGTGTGCTTCTATCTTCAGGTAGTGAAAACTAGACGTACCTAATCTATAGTAGAACACTTGCATTACCCAACATGTTCTCAGTTGTCAAGTTGCAATATTTCGAATTTCAGTGGTCATAGTCCAAATGAATTTTCTTTTTCCCGTAAACTACATGAAAGAAAAGAATTATTGTTGCTGGCATTGGAAAACACAAGTAGTAAAGAAGAGAAAGAGAGAGGAGAGAGGGAGTATGTATGAGGAGACATGCAAAGAATTGTCTGATGATATTTACGATGAATGGGGGTAAGGTTCAAACCTCAAAAAATATACTCTTCTTTTTCCTTTCTGCCCCAAAATAACGGCCGCATTAGTATAGGGGCAGGAGGCACACTTTTGCTCAAAATCATATATTCTTCAAACTCATCATTTTGCCATTGCTGTTCACGATGAAAAAAGGGGAGAAGGAGCAGTCTTCTTAAATCATGATCATTGGAAAATCTTTTCTTTAGTTGTACTATTTGGATTGGGTTGGATGAGATTGGATATCAACAAGCCCTGACTAATTCACTCACTGTCACTGACTGCCTTTTCTCTATAGAGCTATAGGACTTAGGATTTCAGAGCTAGGGCACCGCCCTACCCCCCCCCCCCCGATAGGGCTGGGTCCCCAATCCCCATTGGTATGTCTGTCGTCTGTCAATACTCTTGTTGATCACTGCTTCCACGCGCCCTTCATTGTATGTGGCTGAACAAAACGGATTTTTCTCTCTTTACTTATAGCATGCTTGACTGATCACAGAGGCATATAAAGAAAAGAAGATTTTAACATATAAAGTACTATTGAATATAAAAGATCATTTAATAATATAAGGTTTAATCTACGAGGAATGATCACGTCATGTATGATTATTATGTGATTATTTTTAACAGCTATACTGGTTTTCATACATGTATGAAGTTGATGTTAAGCATAACTTTATTAGAATCCGGAACCAAAATGTTGCTATTTTGGACTCAAAAGACACAAATAAGTGTAAAAAAAAAAGGTAACCATAATATATATAACGCCAGAAAACCTGGCGCTATATAATAACGGTAACTGCACCGTTATTATATAGCGCCAGGTTTTCTGGCGTTATACACTGTCAGAGTAATATAGCGTCAGGTTTTCTGGCGTTATACACTGACACAGTGATATAGCGCCAGAAAACCTGGCGTTATATCCTTTTTTTCCTGACCCAAGTATTATTTAGAGTACAATAATTCAAAATAATATAGTGCCAACTTATTTGGCGCTATATATGTAAAAAAAAAAAAAAACTTCCCGGCTCTCCATTTTCTATATAAAGAGGTTAGAATCGCATAGAAATGCATTCAAAATTTTTTTTAACTCTTGTTGAAACGTCTGTTGTTGTTAAATTCTCCAGCATTTTTTTATTATGTCTGAAGAGCGTAGGATAAGAGTTTCATTATATTGGGGTGGTGAGGTTGTGATGGAGAATAACTCCGTGGGCTACAGTTTACCTGCTAAGTGTCATGTTAAATTGCCACTGACAATGGAGTACGATACATTGATATCGTTGTTATGCAAAAAAATGAGTGTGAGGAAACGTTCGGTGATATTTAAAGTAACCGGAAGATATCCTTATTCCGTCACTCCGCAAGGGGTTGCTTTTTACTCGGAGTTTAACATCGACGATGATGAAACTTTGAGTGATTTTTTGAGGACTCCGGACGAATGTCGGGATTTTCTTGTAATCACAATGTTGGAGATGTACGTGAAGGTCGAAGACGTTCCAAAAAATGAGGTTGTGCGTAGTAGAGATAACCCCCAGTCATCAGGGGGTTATTCTGGAACAGTTTTTGCCGGACAAGTTCCGGATGAAAGAGTTATCTTTGATTTAAACTTATCACCGCCGGTGAATGAGCAGCGAGAAAATAATTTATACCCTGCTTTCCATAACTCACAAGACGAGTGGTAAATTTTAATTTTCATTTGTGTTAATTTGTATATTTTTGTTGTATTGAATTTGTATTAACGCTCACATATTTAATAGGGGGTACCGGCCGGATATGAATTTTACAAATGGCCCATCCGGTAGTCATCACCTAATTGATAACGTCCATCATGGAATTTTATCACATTACGACTTGTAAGTGAAGTGATTTACGCAAAATATGGAAATTATTTATTAATTTAGTAGCTTATATTTTTGTTGGTTGTGCAGTGAAAACGAGCAAGTTGAACTCACTCAATTGCCCGAAAATGATGTATTACATCGGGACCTGGCAGATGCACAGAGTCAGGAACAGAACAGTGATTACGATAACAATGCGGATGAATCCGGGGATGAGACACCCTTTGCTCGTGAGGATGGTGATGCAGAGGATGAGGAGGAAGGACCTGATTTGAAGAGAGACCCCCCTAGACGAAGAGTGTATGAGTTCGAAGTGCCGTTTCATTCAAGAGAGATTCCTTACATTGATAACTTGCTAGCCGTGCCGGATGTGGAAGCTCTCACAAGGGATTTTGATGAAATCCGGACAGCAATGTGGGATGAGTCTAGACCAACGGTACTTGCAAAGGGGATGCTTTTTCCTGATAAAGCGCGCCTAAGCAGGGCTTGTAAAATGCACAACGTAAAAGAGTGTCATGAGATGCAGGTATGGGAGTCAAGTCCGACGGTATACAAGGTTGTTTGCCGCAGGTGATTTTGGCCATGTAATTGGATGTTGCGTGCGACCAAGAAGAAGACAGGTATGTGGAAAGTGGGTAAATACATTCCCACCCACACATGCGAAATGGACACATTCAACGGGAATCACTTCAACTTGGATATTGACTTGATTTCTCTTATTCTTATTCCACACATCGAATAGTCCATAAGGTATAAAATCAAAGAGTGCATTACATCAGTCCAGCAGGAACATGGCCATACCATTACTAAAAGAAAGGCATTTCTCGGGCGCAAACGAGCGTTTGAAATAGTGTATGGCAACTGGGATAAGTCATTTGCAGATCTGCCTAGGTACATGGCTACACTACAGCATTTTAACCCCGGGACGGTTGTTGAGTGGAAGCTTGAGCGAAGTGCAGGTAAACCAGAATATATATTCAATTACGTGTTCTGGGCGTTTAAACCAGCAATTGATGGTTTTTCGCATTGTCGCCCCGTAATATCCATAGACGGCACTCATGTCTATAGAAAGTACGATATCAAGTTGTTAATAGCCGTGGCAGTAGATGCTAATGGACAGATATTTCCTCTAGCTTTTACTATTTGTGCCAATGAAAGCCAAGAGAC